TCTGATTTATTCGCGGTTCACTGTAGGGATAACGAGACCGACGATCAGCTAAACGGTATTTAGGATAGTTAAACCACTCGATGTAATAAGGTGTATTATATATGCTAGAATAGATATACTGTAAGCATAAGCTATTTATCAAATTATTTATTTGTTAATTATATATATGCTTTCTTTATTAAGGATTTATTGGCTAGTAACAACACCGTTAGCAGGTGTGGCTAATAAAGACGGCAAATAACCTGCTCAAATATAATATCTTTTTGCCTAGTTTGTTTGACAAATAGCAGTTAAACCATAACACATAATTTCCGTGTAATATTATTTGTGACGATAGTAAAATTTCGTAGAATTTGATTTGTTGTGACGCGTAATATTAATGATTATATAATACAACATAGTTTTCGTTCGCGTCTTTCCTCTGAAGACTTTAGTTCGATTAAAGATTAATTCGTTTTAAATTTTGACTTTACTTCATCGCTTCGCTTGTTAAGAATGTCTTATGAAATCAAATTATTTACAATGACAATACTGTTTCGGGGGGGGGTTTTTTTTTGCCCGTGCAGCCGAATTGTATATTGTAAACCATCCTCTCTTGAGAATACACGATTGAACGTTTATACGTTGTGATACCGCAACGATAATTATGACCTATTTTTCTGCGCAGCTCCGACGGTAATACGATCGACGTCAAGAAACCGATTATTTACATCGCAAAGCTACGCGTCGCAGTAGTCAAAAAAGTTGACATGCGTGTCAGAAAAGTGAATCTGACATGAGTCCGGTCCGGATTACTGTTCAAGCCAATAATTATAGCAGTTGCTAAAATTAGTACTCGAAATATATAAAAGTAGCGTAGGAGTCAGCTAGTTCATTGTGTTCGCCAGTGTTTGATTACATTTATTTCATTCCAATTCCTTAAATACTGTTAATAAGCGAGTAACTGATTATATACGATTGATATTCTATTCCCTAAATTATTCGATATAGCCATTGTAACCACTAATTGCTTCTCAACTTGCCCAAGATTTACAATAATATCAGATATACACACTTTTAACGCAGAGAAGATCTCTTAGAGTCCTTTAATGATTGCAGCTTACTTCATTGTTATCATCTCATCTCATATGCATTAGTCCCAGTACATACAAGTGCGTTTGAAATATGGTTTGGCCTGAACAAATTCCATTCGAATCAAGAGCGTGTGTAAAAAATGTCTTTTTTTTTTTCGGACCATTTATCTCGCTAACTGTTAAATATTACAAGGCTGGGTTTCCAAAGTATTCCAAAAGTAGGAATGGCTGGCGTACCCCTTACTTGAACTTTATATCTCACCATTTATTCGCACGGCTGATTAAATTATTCATTGGTATTTGTTTGTCGTCTGCCTATTTATTACTTGAGTATTAATCCGGGCGTATCCATTATATCAAGAACTTCCAAGTACTCGAACAATCTATCTCTGTCAGTCCATTGCGAATAATCGACAATATCAATACCGTTCAATACCAATGTTCTTAATAACGAACAATGCTCCAGTGTCAACTTTTTCAGCGGATCCAACCATGCGTTTCACACCGTCTTAATCTAACACTTCCAGATGACGAAGCGCGCATAACAAATTATCAAGGCCTCTTGCCGTTATTTGTGATGCATTGATTTTACAAAGTGTCGCCATACAAGAAAGAGCCATGTTACTGAGATTTATGTCAGCCATACCCGCTGTTTCTCCCGTGTACCCCCGATACGTCTTGGGGATAACTCCAAATGTTTCAGGGTCGTAACTACTTGTGTCGGTAGCCCAAGAAAGCGAGCTGACCAACACGTATCTCAGTGCTGGAATATTCATATCCGTTCGAGTTCTGTCAGCTGCTAATGGCCATCGCTGCTTGTACATTTTGGTGGAATTGTAGACATGCCAATGATAGTGATCGCAAAGTTCTCGATGTTTGTGGTAATTCAAGTTCTACCGCCTTAACGCCAATTTGCAATGTGGTATTGTGCTTCATTCATAAACGCGACTTCACGCGTGCGGGATTTCTTGTATCGCTAAAATATAAAAAGCACAACCATTATTTGCTTTTCTTATTCGTGATATAAAAAACATACATGTTATCCAATCTAGTGCCCAAAGTATCGAATCTGGTGGTCAAAGCATTCATCGTTGTTTGGATTGTGGCGGGTAGTTTTGCGCCTAAAAAAAACATAATCAGAATTTTTTTTACGAAGTCTCTTAAGCATATTTTTTTTATTTACCATTGAGATAATCGAAATCATTAGAGAAAGTTTCTTTCTGTGGGACTTGCACCCAAACGTAATCGAATTTTTACGTGACACAAACGCCTCACGCGTCTGCAGACTGTATCTCTTTTGATGACTCAGATAGATAAATATACCAAAATTGGTTAACTTGCCCATAGTTCCGAGAATAAGCGCCCACTTTAACTATTACTATAGGAGGTGTTTATTTCCGGAACTATACGGTAGAACAATTCAATCTCTAGTCGCTCCAGGGCTAATAATAAATAAAGCAACTTTAAGTATGACGTCCTTATGACCCAGTTGATGCAGATGCATATAAAATAGAAGTCAATTAGTGTCAACTATTGAACTCTTAAACTTTCTTATTATACAGTATATGATCCACAAATATGTGATATCGTGCGCCCAAGATATCAATTTAACAAATAACATGATCGTGGCCTTATGAAGTTAAGTGCAACATTTAATGTCCCAACTAGTGAGACTAAAGTTACTTGACTAAGTTATCTGTACGCATTTCTTGCAATTCAACCGATGGTAGGTTTTAAATGCAAATTCAGCACATGGGCAATATTAGTATATTAAGTAGCGTCTAGCTGTCAATAGTGTGCGTATCAAGAATGATTCAACGAAGAAATAGACTTTTGTTTGCACGCGATCTTCAAAGGTTTGAGGATATCGCCGGTCAAAAATTGAACTCGAGCGGGAATCATACTAATAACTTACACATTAAACATGGAAAAAGTTCTATTGACCTAAATCTCATCCATATTGACCCTCAGTTGTTCAAATCATTATCTTCTCCATCTAACACGCTACTTCAAAGTCTATTTACTATAATAACTACGTTTGCTTAAACAGATTAATGTTAGAGAGAAGAGTCTTTCAGATGTGGGGAGAAGAGAAGAGTTATGGCGATATAGTGAGAGTAAAGGGTTACTTTAAAAACTATCGAAGTGGTTTCTACTGTTCCTGATGATATATTAATTGTTTTATATAGTAGGCATTCTGGCACTTCTTCAGTAATACTAGTGGTTTGGAATTCTTTGTAACTAATACTAAGCGTAAATCGTACGTTTCTTGTTTATCTGTTAGACTTTCATATGCAATATGTCTTACACTGAAACGCGTATCTACATATTTTCGCTTACTATCGCAGCAACACATCGTTGTAGTGGAGAATAAGTCTATCAATTCTAAGTTGTTAATATTAATATACAAGTATGCTTTTAATAATGTCTTTATTAAACCATTTGACAGGGTCGGGTCGACTCTCATTTTGCGAGATTAACATTAGGTGATCAGCAAGCCAAATTACTACGAGAATATAATTTCTTAAATGATAAATGTTCGAGTATTTTCTAATACTGTACTATTGTATAATTGGTTAATATAAAAAAGGGTTGGTCACGTGGAATTCACAACGCTACGAAATCATGATTAGTTTTCATACTTCTAATAAAAGTCCCTCGCGATAGTAGTTTTCATACTCATTCCGAGTACTTTTCTCCAATACAAATCACTCTGATGCATTTGTTATTTATATTTAATTATTCTATAATACAAATAATAAAGATGTTTTTATTATCACAATAGATAAATTACGTCCTGAAGGACTAATATTATATCCATTTATTGTTGGCGCAATGGTTATCCAATTACAGATGTGGAGGCTAAGCCTAGAAGAATCAAAACAAAGAGAAATGGGGATATGTTGATTGATAAGGGACAGGCATCCTCAAACCTTAATTTTCTTTTCGGAATTGCAAAAATAACTGTAGTAATACTTGCGTAACTAAAGTCAATCGGGGACATCATAGTTTTGTGGCGCTCGAACTTGAAGTAGCACATTATTAATGTCGATCATTAGCCTTTAAAGTATTAATTGTGAGACCAACCCGCCTGTTAACATCACGATATCACAATATAAACCAACAGCATATTATGTAATAGGAATGCTTCACTTGAGAAAAGGTCTACTCTTTGGTCTGGACATATCTCGAGCTTTTTTTCATATGAAAAAAAAGGCTCGTGAGAAAGTTTGATGAACTCGTGTAACTTTATTTACAAATGTTTAGACGGTGGTCACCAATAAATGAAATTCCCCAAATAGGTAGTATTGCATTGATAACGGAGAATATTCCAAGTTAGCTCAGAAGCACACTTTTATCCTCTAATTTTCATCAAAAAATTAAAGCCCATTACAAGGTTGGGTATCTGGCCAAATAGAAGCCCGCTCATACAACTCTTTCTAACCCTTTATGGGGAATACTGACAGTGACCCGGACCATCCCTATGACATCATTACTATAAATCTAACATTGATGGTAATTGTTCATAGTCATATTGTAGTAAATACGTAAACGTCTCTATCAGCGTTGTAATTAGTATTGTCATTGCTTTTACTCCCATAATCGGATCGATAATAATCAAAACCTGTATTTTGCTCTTTATCGCACTGCTTTTATGCCCTTCATAGCAGTGTTGGCAACCAGTTCTGTACCTGTGTAAGTGTGCCTTTTTTATTTGTTTGTGGTGCAATGTCGACAATCACTTTAAGAAAAACTAGCCCCCCAATTTATTGTATGTTTGTAATACCCAACAGGGCAAAACGTCGTTATTGTTTGCGTGCGTGCGACATGCTTGCCCTTTATTAGACCGCTTCTCGTTTATACCGCCCTCCGTGCTTGAACTCCCACGCCACGCCTTTAGGTATTCCAGACAATAAAACCCATCTTGGCTGACCAAGACACCCCCAAAAACTCCATGGCTCTCTTTACTCGGACTCTTTGCACAAGCAGTATACGCCATTTGTCTCTTTTCACCCGCCCTCTGCTCTCCACTTCTCATCGTACGTTTATCTCTTCCGCTATACCGCCTACAACTTACGAAGCTGACAAAGACTACTGGCTGCTAAAATCTACTCTCGATGATATACGTGCCAAGTATGGCCTCTCTGGCGGTTCTCGTATCAAAGACCACAACCTCGATGCCCATTCTGATCTCGAAATCGATATCACACCTCCCGCCGATGTTAAGAAATTGGCTCAGATTAACAATTTGCTCGAGACGGCGTCAAAAGATTTCCAGTGGTTTATCTCAGAGACCGAAAACAATAACAGGGTGAACAAGAAAGTATGGCTGGCGGAGGATGACGATATGAGTGGGAATATGGATGAAGCCATTAAAGCGTATAGGGAGAGTACAGTAATGGCAAATAGTGCGCTTCACGTGTACGATTTGGAAGAGTCGATTGAGCAGAAACCTCCTGGATTCCAACATGTTCATTAGTGCAAGATGTAAATAAGTACAAGAACAAATGTAGCGAAACCAAAATCTGTCATCTATGATCGAGCCTATACTGGATATATTCGTATTGCAAATTGATTATTTTTCACCCCTTTTTCTTGTATATACTTATGCTTTGTGTCGAATAAAGCTGTTGTTGTTAATTCTATACATGATCTGCATGATCTTATGACCAGCTGCAAACTAAAATATGTCAATGAATATTCTATAAAATCGAATGTATGTTACACTAGGCTTCAAACAATCGCTATTATTGTATTGTCGATATCCGGAAAAAAGAGTCATATTTGGACAGCTATTATGTTCATTATCATTATGTAAATTTTTGCAAGGCAAATAACAATGACTATCAAAGAACCAACTTGAGATAGTGCTTCGCACGTGATGAAAATATTTTTATGACCCCTTTTCAAAAATATTTATGCTGTGTATATGATCACCAGTCTTATCTATAGTAGTAGTTATTGATAAAGCTCAGTGATGGCATACCATTGGCATACCAGTGCTTTTAGCAATCTGAAAAGTTCAAGCCAACAATATCTAAAGATATACTGTACACAGGATCGATTAACCAAACAAGTTCCTTTAAGCGGGATTGCAAGAGCGTTAAGCTGTCAAGGGTTTTGGTACTATTATACCGAGATCTATCTTTTTGACATAACATATGGTTCAATGAATTGAAGGAAATGTGCCAATGGGAGAGATAATTTGCCAATGGGGGAACAACTCCGATTAGTCCCTTCTTACTTTAATTATCAAGCTCAGTTAGTACGTGTATTTACACTCTTAGCTTCTAGATTGCAGGAGCTGGCCTCGATATTTTTCCAATTGCAGATTTTATCGATTACTGGTTGGCATCCTAACCGCAATATGCCAAAAGACATACTCTATCTAATAGATTACAGCTTATCATAACAATATACCATCGTATACTTTACGGTGTGTTTATCCACTTACAATTTTATCGTAAGAATAAGACTCTAGATGAATTGATAGCAATGGTCAATTTATCGTAGATATCCTTTTTATCGCGTGTCAGGTGATTGCTGTGGAAGAAATTAATTCAACTTGTCTGGACTTGCACCTGAAATGACATAAGAAGCTGGAAAATCATGTCCTTTTGGGAAGGTTTGCTTGGTGGTAAAGTGTTGATGCAGGCACAATCCATATACCAATTTTACTTTGCATTTATGGATGTAAATTTTCTTATTTTTCTTAATTTTCATTATTTTAGTAACTGAATAATAAAAGGCACAGTAGTGTTGCAATCTAAATCAACCATTCAGTAACTCTTATTCACTCGAGAAGTTTTATTTTCAATAGTAAGCCTCAGGGTCTCTTAACCTTATATTGTCCATGGCACTGACAAACTTCAGAAAAGGAATTTTCATTCTTCTTTCATCGATTAACTTGTTACTTACCTTTTGGAGACATGTAAGAATTGATATTCAAATAGGATTGTTTAATCATCACTCGTATTCGAAAATGTTCTAATTTTTAATAATCACGCGTAGTCACGGAATGCACGTGAGTGATATATTTTACTCCATCAGAGTATTGCTATCTTTTTAACCATTATATAGGGTAGTGCCCTCATCTTCCCATTCCGCAAATAAATCTCCTCACTGGCCTAGATTTTGGATCCTGCATCAAAATCAATCTATCGGTATATCGATGATCATTTTCGTAGACGTGATTCCTGTTTAATTATCCAGAAGACAATAACTTACTTTGTTGCAAGATTAAGGCTTGTCATTTATGGGTGGATTTGGGAGGAGTTCGGATTTATCACTAACTGAATTGTCCCCGTTTGAATACTACCGAACATTTTCTCACCACAACTTGGTTCCCGATTTGATCTTCATGCCATGACCATATGATCAATTATAAATCGGATGAGTACAATTTAGTAGTAGGGATGTCTTGTGATATCCAATTTGAAAATCTTTATTAAGTAGCTCATAAAGAACCAACCGTGTTAAACTTTCAAAGTTATGTAGGGGAGACGGAGAAATTCTAATAATAGCAGTAGCACTAGCGATAATAGTAGCAATTATGGCCATAGAAAGAAAAATGCTTATGAGACTTCGTAAAAAGAAACCTGATTATGTTATTTTTCAAGCGCAACAACGACAATCTAACTTGGACATTTCGGGACTCTTGACCACAATCCAAATAACGATAAATGCTTTGATCACAAAGTCGATACTTGGGATGGCAGATTGGATACTTTGGAGAGCACTTGGAAGATATATCGTATATTTGGACATTAGACTGGATAACGTGTATGTTGTCTTTTTTTGTTTGTATCACGAATGAGAAAAGTAAGTAATAGTTGTACTTTTTATATTTTAGCGATACAAGAAGTTTCGCACGTGTACTAAATTTAACATTGGCGAATCAATCGCCGCGCTTTGAGCAATGATAGGTGTGTATCCTAGCACAATTTCAACTTTATAATAATTTATAAAGGTCCAGCTATAGACCTCTTGAGGTTTTATGGATTACAAACTACTGGATCTGTCAAAGCTCGACGCATACGCGTTGCAAAATACCTTGGAGCTTGACTATTATAACCATGCGACTTATTTTTGAAGGTCACAACTTTGTGTAATAGCCAAATCATAGGTCTTACTGTGTAAATATAAACAGTCACATGGATTGGGGGGTGCTTATTTTTGGAACTATACGCGTAGATTTCAACTAGTTTTTAGTGTGTTCTGATCCTTTATTTCACATACTATTATTAATAAACGAGTAGTTGTTTATACTCTGAAATACTAATAAACAATATTGATAGCTTTTCATTTGATGAATGGGTTAATACATGTAATAGAAAGAGATGGCCTTTAATAAATGGCGAGAAAGTTAGAGATGTTTTGCTAAGAATGACGCGAAAAGCAATTGACAAATCAATAAATTAAAAATATAAGGAAAGACTCTGAGCACTATAAGGTATTATATTTTTATTGTTATTTCTTGATATTCGTACGTTAACAAAGGGATGTACGCGTGTAGGTTTGTCTTTCGTCAATAATTGACTTATCATCGAAATTTGGTGGAGGGATGCATACCTGGTTTGGTTAGGTCTGAAAGTGGGGTGTTCGCATAAAACAAAGTTTGAGGAGACATTTATTAAGATCGAAGAGGTACATAAAGTTTATTGATCGTTATAATTCTGTACACGTAAACATTCATCTATATCCATTCTATCAATAAATATTGGGAAGCGCAGGCGTAATTGGATAATATAAAGAAAGACCCAGAGATGATACGCGCCATCAAGTATTAAAATATATTATTATGTGTACGTATGTTATGTTATAGTTTTTTTAAACAAATTTATTCCTAGAATCGATATGCTTTTAGAAACCCCATGCTCTTTTGTTGATAGAGAAGGTAGAAAAAGAATTTGACAAAAATTGAATTTATTATAAAAGTTGCAGGCCTATATTTTCTAATGATCACAAGATTGATGATGAGCGTTTTGTTGTTAGCTTTTATAGTCGCCGGAAGATAAATTTGAGGCACGAATATGTCACACTCAAATTTGCGACACCATTAAAAATAATTAAAGATCGCAGTAAGGCTTGAGAATGAACAAATGTATACTACTAGACAGCTATCTAATGAACAACATTTTCGAAGAAGCAATTGAAGATTCAGCGATATTGGTTTACAATCGGCTGGTAAGTCCGTTATTAAACAAAATGCAACAATAAACGCTAATAGTACGCTATAAGCTAATTATGTATTAGCAACTTTTTGCAATTCACTTACTTGATTAAGGATTGTACTTCAGTTTAAATGGACCAACGTTTAAATTTCCTGCAGTATTGAGGTATTACGAAGCTCATTGGAAGTTCTATATCTCTTGAAGGTAAGCCAACTGGTCTTGAGGGTTTCTGCATGGGCAGTAGTATTCTACGTTAATAATGACACTATTTTATACTAGTAAGGCTGTCAATAAGGCTAAATATTTGACTTGCAATAGTGGCAAAAATACTTACATCAAGATTATTTAAAGCCTCAACACTCTGAGATTAATTATACAACTCCCCACCATATTCTAATTACTGAAATACTGTATGACGGTGAAGAAGGAAGAATTAATTAGGAAAGAGATGGTATCGCATATAGCTTGAGTATTATAAGTAAAGAATGGTTAGGGGGTGATCAAAGCCAATGAGAAGTTATGCTGTGAGATTGAGCCCATTGCTCCGTAATAGAAAGAAATTGCAATTACAAGAGGCTAAACAATGTCTTGCGTACTTGAAATATTATTCTACGAAAAGCTTTGTCCCAACCCAAACAAATATATAGAGATTAACTAAATTTGAAATGTAAGGAGTTTTTGCGTATGAATTACTACTTTGCTTCATCGATGACAAGGTATATAAAATTTCGGTTAATATTTCAGGATAAAGTTTATTATTATTATGTAACATTTTTTACGAATAATAAACGTTATTATCTTTGGTTCAATATTTATATTTGGTAAATAACCATTTTCTACTAACGTATGGCGGATGTACGGTAAAAGATTGCGGGTATATAGAATTTTAATAAGATCTATATCTTTCGGTTTGCTTTTTTTGATCACGATCGGTGATGTCATCTGTAATACAAATTATTGCGATAATAATGGGTGACCCGCTAAATTCAAACGCCAATTTTAGCCTTCATTATAACCATCTAAATGCAACCCTTTGGTGCGATCTTCGAAAATATATCTTGTCAATTTTTCGCCTTTTGTGTGATAACATAATGGACACCATTCAAACTATTGACGTGTGCCATCTCCGCAGGAAAATAGTACATTTATTCTGCTGGTTTTTGCTAAGACATCTTTTAGCATACTTTTCCGCCTTTGCCAATTTATCAAAAACCCGAGGAACTAATTGGTTAAGTTAATTTTCTGATAATATGTGTTGAGGAGGATATTGAATCTTATCTGGGTCGACATGCATGAGTTTTTCTCTCTCAAATTCATATTCTCCATCTAGCTAGTATAAAACTGGTTTGTTCTCAGAGACAACAAATTTTGAATTGTAAATAACGTCATTTACCATTTAGCAAGTTTTGTATTTTTTTTTTTCCGTCTTTCCGAACAATTAATCTCTGAGATTTAAGCTTAACTTTTTCGAAGAAAAAAAAGAAAAAGATAATTTATTAAATTACATATTTCACGCACAATAAATAAATTTGCGAAAGTGGAAGAGAGTTTCTAATGTGGTAGATCCAGCATTCGTGCACCGAGCAAACAAATATAGAATTACTGGAGAAATTAAATCGTGAATAGACATAAATTGTACAAATGAGAGAACTTATGCAAGAGTTAGAAAAATGCGAAAAAGAGCTAATCCGGCAAGATTATAAGGTCTTAGACCAAGAAAAATCTCAAAAATTAAATATCAGATATATGAAACCAACTGAGATTGGTTCTCAAGGAAATAAATAAAAATGAGACAATTACAATTAGGAAAATTAACACAACGAGAAAAAAAAACTTAATCATCATTATACTGTATTCCTAGGAACAATAGTTACAATTGAACGAGAATCAAAAATGCTCTCAAAACGACTGAGCAATGATTCAGCACAATCAATGGAAAATGCAGATAACTATTCGTGATTGCGGGGGATGACAGGATGTTAATGCAGATATGTTAGTTGGATGGCACATAATATAGAGGATGTACGCCTTCTTTGCAATAGATTTAAAAGGTGGGTCAATCACGTGTAAAACTATATCAAAAATATACATGGAAGTGTTGCGTCTGAGTTTGGGACCTGTCTCAGTTCAGAACCCAGTTACTCAATCTAGAACTCAGAGCTGAGACAGGTCTCCAACTGAGGTACAACACAAGATACTAATTTAGAACTAGAAGACCGAATTAATTTTTTTAAATTCAGGAAATTTTAGATCTACATATACACAACATCAACAATACAGGGCAGGGTATGAACTACCAAAGTTTCGTGGATTAACGGATTCAAGAGATTTATTAGAGATTTTCGCCAATGACGTGAATGTGCTAATTATGATCCGGGTGCTGGACATAGTATGCGAATGAGAATTTTAAAATTGTCTTGAAGGCGATGACACACTGACTTACTGTCTGTCGTGAATAATGGTTAATTGACTAACGCGTATCTTTGATTAAATTTGTCTTTCTCATGCTTTTCGTTAATAAATCAAGAAAAAAAACCAGCCCTTGCGTTGCTTTGCACACCACAGGAACCACAAACAAACATTCCCACTTTACAACTTCAATAATAGAATCTTTCTGGAAATAATTCCAAAAGTTGCAGCCGAGGTTGGTGATATTTTGGAAGATTTGATGATGAATTAAGCTGAAGACTTTTAAAGAGACTTTAGTTTCTTTGCGCGAAACCTCAAGGACAATGTGCGTACTTATTTATAGAAATAACACGCATTATCCTGATATTAATATATTTCTCATTCAGTGCAAAGATTACTCTTGCTTTAACACGATTGAAAGTGTTGTTGACAAAATCTCTGATTTAGAGAAAATAAATCTTCGTAAGCAATCCCGAGGGGAAAGGACAAGCGAATTTTGCAATATCTTACATATGCGATTTACTTGTATATCACTCACAAAAATCGCTTACTTTATTGTGAATCGCCAAGTATTAGTAAAATAACTGGTTGAACCTTTGATTTTACTATGTCGTAGCGTAATTCTCTTTTTACTTTGTTTAGTTCACAAATGAAATTTGCGCTTATATCCATGTGTACTTCTTGCTGCATAAGAGACGATTTCAATTTGTCAATTGATTTGATGGCTTAAAATTTGGGGATGCATGCATGCAACGTTCTTATTGGTCAAAAATTTTTATTGCATTTAGTTAATGGGGAGCGATCTTCGGAATAACGGGTAAATTTACTATGTCGGATAGCGGTAACTCGGGATTTTATAGTGTGCTTCAGTACATCGGGGTATTTCTAATAGATTTGGCAGTGTGCTTGAAAAATTGTTAGTAAGATTATTCAAATAATCACGTGAGACAATTGTAATTGAATCCATGTGACTAGTCTTATAGTTCGAATAAAGCTTTTTCGTGTAAAACGTCACAACTTGTAACTAGCTCTTATTGAGCCGTGTCTTATTAAACTAAAAGTGTGTTATATATATTCTGATATCCTTGTTAGATAAATATATATGCATGAATACGGCTCAGTCCTGGAAAGATGGCGGACATCACCATAATAATAACAATAGGACGGGGCCGCTTTCCGAATTCACTTTTAATACGCCGCTTTTCCAATACATTAGCTCGAGCGTTTTTTGGCGCACGATTTGTCATAGCAACCAATCAGTCTACGTTTGGATGTTTGAGTACTTTCTAACTGGTATGACTTATCAGTAATTACTTGAAACTGAGTAATATATAATTTATTATATATATTATATTTGTTTACCCATAATAAAATTTGCTATCCCTGATCATTACCTATTTTGTGGAGCAAGCATCATCATGAGTATATCACCATGAGGCTAAAGAAAAGCTAGAAATACAAATATGGCAATGTTTGTATTTTTCTATGAGAACTTATAACATCCTTATCTTTTGGCAACCTGCCATTCTGTGGAGAAGCATTGTGTAAATCAATTCATTCTCAGTTTATAAACACATGCTCCTGCATATATTAGATTACATAAAATACAGTTGCCCTTTACGTATAAAGAAATGCTTGACACGTGAGCACATCGACAAAATGAATTTTGAAGTTTCACAAGGAATATCATGGGATAATCGACGTTGTCCCTTGTTAGACAGTTTGTAAAGGTCTTTTTTCAAAACTCGTATGGATGTTGAGCTCATTGGAATCGTAATGGTATACGAGTGTTAGTATATATTACTAGATATACTGATAAATGTAACACTTATAGATACAATGCCAATACGCATTTGGCGTTCATTTGAAAGACAAGGGGTGTGAAGTTTCCAATTAGGAGTGAACAAACGTTTCATCATTGAACCTAAATGCGTTGAAAAGCATATGAGATGTGCTTGATATTAAGCCTTATATTTCTAATATTCGCATGTTAGGTAAGGGACATATCTAACCTGTCTATCATTCTATAGCCTTAATTGACAGCTTGCTCTGTGCGTTAAGATGGGGGAGGTTCTTAATACGGTTTAAAACAAAGCTATTCAAGTCCGAGTGTATTGTTTATGTACGCAGTTGCTTGTGCTATTGTTCTAATGCATAGCCTGGATGCATTGCTTGCATTGCTTACATTGTCATACCATCCACCCAATAGATTGTAATTGTAATACTTTCACCTGAATACATTGTCGTTTATAAAGTTATACCCCCATTTGAATCTATCGTCGTTTGGCATTTGTACAGTTTTTCTTAGTAACCAATATCTCGAGCTTATTAATATCGCAGAGAGATTAAATAGATGACGAATATCACCACTTCATCTGCAGAAAGCCTTTGACCTATTGCCTTTTTTAGTACTCTTATCAATAGTTAAAAAGAGCCAGCGGAAAAAATGTAGCAGAATCTGACTCATTAAGAGGCGCATGTAACATCCGCAGTCGAATACTGTGCTGATTGTGAAACTATTAAAATTATATTTAATGGTAAAATGCAATTTCCGATTACTAAAAGTTATGAAAGGAATTATGTAAGACATTGAAAAATCTTAGTTTCACAGAATTTTCTGATATGAGAATTAGGAAGATGTTGCGACGTTTATGATGTAAAATCTATCATGGGCATAAAAAAGCAGAATAAGCGCAGGCTTGTTACTTACGCTAGAATAAAAGACCCTTTCTCGGACAGGCCTGCATAGATTTGTTTCTTCGTTCGATCATCTTTAATAACCAAACTATTAAGATTTATATCTACTCCACGGTGTTTCAGTGTAACGTTTTTTGACACCCCAAAGCATCAATGATATTAGCTTCAATTCTCGTTGTCATTACAGCGTGCCATAGGACCTGCATGTTTCCTGCTTTTAGTAACAACACAAACAAATACTTGGTAGACGCGTAATGTAAGATGTCGATCACTTGAACCTTCGTCTTTAAACATTACTTAGTTATAAGATGCAACTTTAATCTTAGTCGTTTAGATTACTTTTGTTATTAAGCGAGGCGTATATGCAATCTATTATTTAATATGGGAACTTTAACTCAAATAGTCCCTTGATTATTTGTGCAACTTACGCAAATTGTGTTATTCGAAAAAGTTCGGACATCACGAGTATGTAAAATTATAAACATTATATGGTAGCACAGTGAAACGACTTGATTTCTCGATGAAAAAGGAGCTTGAGAAGCCAACTCTGTAGATTCCATATTAATATGGCTAACAATCGTGCAACTAAAAGTTTTGTTGCAAAAGCCCCAAATCTTAGTTAGAAAACAATATATAGCCATATATTGATATCTACTGACAACCAACTTTTTTTATTCCGCCCCCTTTTTGGTATACTGCGCCTAATGGCGAAATGCGATCTACAGATTATTTGGGAAGGCTGGCGCTATAAGTTAAAAAGACCAAGCCCGAACTAGATACAAATCCGCTGATCAATTAACTATCTCGTAAAGAAAAAGAATCTTCTTTCCTATACATTGTTCTGCAATTTCCGTGTGGGGATAATTAACCCGCATATAAATTTAATATCGCAACAAATGCTACCGCTTGCCCAATATTGTAACATTTATCATGGAATTCATAAATTTTGAAATGTTCAAGTAACGGTAACGTGGAACGTCTCCATTATAGGCTTGAAAATATGTGTGGAACGTATATTTAAGTAACCTTTATGTCATTTACACGGAATACCATTTTCACTTGTGTCTCACCGAAGCATAAAAAGGATTTTTATACGAATCAGATTATTTGACCAAAAAGTGGAAAGAGCCATTCGTTTTGCATATAATCAAATAGCCAAAATGGTCAAAACATAAAAAGAGATAGACTAAATAAAATGCTAGAAGCAGATAGCAATCTATAGGAATGTTATAGAGTATTTACGCTCGATTTCTTTGTTCATCTCTCCAAGGAAATTCATTTGTTTCTCCTTTTATCAAGGGTCCAATAAAACTTGTTTCTATACGAGTCTCCTTACAAGGAACATTCCCATGCCCAATTGTGGTCATTTAAGAGTTGATGCTAACTTCATTGGCCTCTCTTATGGAAACACGAAAAGGTAAGAGGACCACGTTCAAACCGATGTACTTCATTGTCTATCCGGTCATTGGGCTCCAGTAATTAGGTAATGAAAGTATTACATGGGATCACATGTGGAAAATTTTGCGCGACATTTGCTCTAATATTTTTTTCTTGTAAGGCTATGTTCCTTTTGTTGATTAAATTAGAAATTTTCGTGTCACTGAAGTTTCTTGTGGCACTATGCAGTATGCCTTTTTAATCTTGTAGATCATCAGACTTGACCGAATATGTATGTACATAATATTTATTCAGATCGCTCTCCGTAATCCCAAAGATCAAATTTCGAAAAAGGTTTTTTTAAAAAAAAGACAACACTAAAAGCAATTCGTCTTCACACTAACAGCAACAACAGGAATTATACATGATACCACTACTTTTACTCGAATGTTAGTATCTACATAGAAGAAAAGCAAATCTATACGATATATGTAGAGATTATATAAACAAATAGTATTAATACTGCCAGAGTGAGAATTAGGATAAGTATCCCAACGTCGAATTTATCGCAGGCTATGTGGTAACTGGCTACCAGAGTCAATTGTCCTTACTCTTTGTTATTTCACAAAGATCTATATATCTCCTACTCTACTCATCACAAATACAGAAAAAGCAATAACAAAAAATAAAACATATATAATAATCCTCCAATATTAGCGGTCCCCCATTAATACAATTCAACCTTTCAATTTTCTGTGATGAAGTCTTTTTTCCTCTACTTCAATCTTCTTATTTCTAATTGTACTTTTCCTAAAACTCTCTTCAAGACTGTCAACCTCAACTTTCACTTCCACACTTTCTTCCTTTATCTCTACAGTTTCGTCCCCACTCTCACTACTGCCCCGTCTATTATCGGAACCATTCTTACTTTCTACGGCCGGTTGCCTTCTATTTGGTAGTTTTTTAGCTTTCTCTAAAAATTCTGGCGGCAACAGATTGTCCTTGACTTGCGACAGCGTTTTATAGCAGCTGTTTAATGTCGCATTAACCACGCCGGCAACTTGTGCCACGTCCTTTTGTTCAAGACGGATGTATTCATCATCTTCATGCGACCGATTCCAATGCTGCGTTCTGGCTTCGTTCCACGAGTTTACAGAGAGCCAAATAGCTGCTGCCCCAACAGATAACGGACATTTGCCCGTAGTAATGTTTTGAGTGTTGGCTTGTTTGTAAACGTGGATTGCCGCGTCGAGAATGTGTGATTGGAGTCTAAGATGTTGACACCAGCGTTTCTAAATTACAGATGGTTTGACAAATCAATGTTAGAACGTTCGATTAAACAATGATTCAACTTGGTCGTCACATTATTATTTTATACTCACCAGAAACTCGGCAGAATCCACCATCTTGTTCGGTCCGTTTGCTCCCACACTCAAACCATTATTACTCAATAACTTGTTCATTAAACGATAATAAGTCCCGATCTCTTGCTTCCTAATCCCAGCTGCACTACAGATTTCCATAAAAGTTCGCGGTAATCCGTGCTGTCTACACAGAATGTACAACAATGAAGCCAATATATGATTTTTCTTCCGATGTGGTTGACGATTCTTCATCTCTTTGAACTGCTTGACTTGCTCAAACAAACATATAGTTTCGGCCCAAATATATGAAGGAAGATCAATGTTTTTTTCCCATTCGATCTTGTCAAGCTCAAGTTTCTCGTCCGATGAATCTTTCAGCGTCGATTTCCTACGCACTGCTGTGGCGGTACGTTTTGAAGATGGGGTGGAAGTAGACGTAGGATTTGAAGAAGACGTAGTAGAAATGGAAGAAGAAGAAGAAGAAGAAGAAGAAATGGCATGTGTAGAAGGCGATGGACTCGGCGACATGACAGGCTCATGTGGTTTAGAATCAGTGCTCGCACTTGATGAATTTGATCCTTTGCGAGATAGTGATATGATAGTAGCGTTGGAACTTTTTCTCGTAGGTGGTAACGTTTCTTCATTTGCCCCACTACGTTCACCGCTCTCACAATCTTTTGAATCAATACCCAGAGAACCGTTTTCTAGTGAAAATGCACATTCTTTAGGCGAGGAAACCAAGGGTTTACCCTCGGTAACAATCCCGGAAGAACTAGCGCTATTATAAATCAACATTGGAAACTGAATAACAATCTCTTCTTCAACCTCGTCTTCGGTTTCCAGTTCATCGCTGTTCCACCCAAGACTACTATCAATTGTCATTTTACGAACAGGTGACGGTGGATAACTATTCTTGTCTATGTTCGTTTTATTTGTGTCGTTGTTATCATTATTGTTATTATTCTTGTCATCGTCAGCACCGTTTTCACTGTTAACTTCATCATCAGAACAATCATCCATAGCCAAATCATCGGACTCGTCGCCTGCGCTTGCCCCGAGATCTTTTATTGTCGACGGCTCGGCCTCTTGTAGAACTTCGCGTTGACTTGTAACGAGTATCTCTCCTGGTGGATCGTCTTTGGCCGGAACCAAGTCTTTTTTTCCCAGTGAAGAAGTTGAAGATGATCTTTTTGGCACTGTAGTTGAGTTACCTGTATCGTCGGGTGCAGTCGCTTGTTCCGGATTATGTCTAACGCTTCTGTCTATATCCATTGGAACCGGCGTCGATGAAGAGGATATGGGCTCAGAAACCGTTATTTCACCGTTGAGGCGCTTGTTGTTTATCAGTGACTGAAGAATCATAATCGTTTCTTGCTCTTTCTTGGCAATTTCCTCTGCGTCAACGTTATCTTTACCAGACATCTGCATTTCGGTCTGCTGCATTGAGTGTGAATGCGGTGGTATCGGCTTATGTGTCGGTGTGCGTGGCGACGTTATTGTTGGAGATTTAACTCTCCTAATGTCATTACCGTTAACGTTAATAGGTCTTGGTGGTTCCGGAGGTGGTGCTTGTTTGTATTTTTTATGACCAGCTTCTTCTGTTATCGTAGGCATCCATGCAAAAGCACGTTTCCGCGGGATTTCGTTTTGTTGGGCAGCGTCCTGGGGAGTCAGCGGCCCATTAACATTCCCACCCTGTCCATTACCACTCTGTAGCACACTACTCTCATTCTGCTGGACGCTTCCCGTCTGTTGTGCATTTGGACTAGGTTGTCCACTAATATTATCGCTACTTCCACACCTCCCATCGTTCTCAACACCTGTTGGCGCCGGAGCTATTGCCCGTGGTAACGCGGGTGCAGCATTTGTTTGTACCGATTGTTGTGGTGGCAATAACCTATTAAGTTCTGCAAATTCCCTCAACTTCCTTCGTGAGCGTTCGATAATTGCCAAGGTGTCAGTTGACGCAGATGGGATGACGTAAGGAACAAATACAGCTCCGCCAACATCGCTACTGGGATGGTGCGGTAACGACGGTGGTCCTTGCGTCGGTGGCAATAACAGCGAACGAACAGGAGTGTGAACAGGAGTAGGCTTTGGCTCTTGCCGCGCTGGTTCTGGTCGTTTTTGCTCGGTCACACTCGCTGGTTTCGGAACAACGCTTTTCTTATCAATCTCAGCTTGATCTTGCCCAGATGGATACTGATGTCCTTGACTGTAAGCACTTGATGGTGCTGACGGCATGGCATTAGCATTGTAGGGTAAATGATCTGGATATTTTGTAGATTGATTATGCATCTGTGATGGAGGTTGCTGGGATTGTGGGGGATGAGAAGGCGATGTTTGTGCTGTAGAGGGGTGTGAATGCTGAGCTTGATGTTGAGTTTGAGTTTGAGTTTGAGTTTGAGTTTGAGAAGCCTGTGTCTGGTGTGACGGTTGTTGCGATTGTGGGAGATGAGAAGGCGATGTTTGTGCCGTAGAGGAATGTGAATGTTGTGCCTGAGGCGAATGTTGTGCCTGAGGTGAATGTTGTGCCTGAGGCGAATGTTGTGCCTGAGGCGGATGTTGTGCCTGAGGCGAATGTTGTGCTTGTGATGTCTGGGAGGGATGTTGTGCCTGAGGCAGATGTTGTGCTTGTGATGTCTGGGAGGGATGTTGTGTTTGTGGTAAGTGCTGGGTTTGAGGTGCCTGATGCTGGCTTTGAGACGGAGGGGGAGGGGCTGGCCTGATTAGACGAGGATTAGAAGCTTGAGAAGTGAATTGTAGCGGCGGCGGCGACGGTTTCGGTGGCGCTGGTTGAATCATTACGTGATGTTGCATAGATGGTAGATGATGCGTAGATCCTGGAGGATGTGAATAAGACGGTGACCTCATTGGATTTTTTATCGAACTGTTGACGTTATACTGGTTTTGTCCTTGACTATGTTGTACTGTAGGATACTGATTGTACCCTTTTTGCGACTGAATGTCAGGCATCAATGACGATTGATGACTCAATTCGCCTGGTCTATAATGACCGCCCGTTCTATATTGATTATTTCCATAACCCACATCAGTTCTCCTCGATAATTGATCAACTGAAGTTCTACGCGAAGCGTCAATGCTATTGTCTCTCCTTTGTGCAGAATCACCCATTGAAGCTCTTCGTGATGCTTGTTGAGACTGTTGATACTGATCTGCAGACGTTGGTGCGCTTGAATATAATTGAGAGTAGAATGGTGGATATGGTGTAGAGTGCGGAGTTTGTTGCGCGTATGAGGAGGGACTAGTGGGAGAAGCGGATTCATATCTGCTGCCAGTAAAAAGAGAGCGATAGTTGAAATGCGGAGAGGTGGCGGTGCTAGAATTGTTGGGGGTCGGAGTAGAAGTTGCAGGAGAAGTAGACGTGGATTGTTCTAAAGCAGACGAGCCGTTTATTAATTCTCTTATGGAAGGCAGACGCTGTGGTTGTGGCGGCTGCGGTTGTTGCTGTTGAGGTTTTTGTTGAGACGGTTGCGTCGTCTGTTGCTGTTGCTGTTGTTGCTGTTGTTGCTGTTGTTGCTGTTGTTGTTGTTGAGACTGTTGTTGCGGTTGTGAAGACTGCTGCTGTGGCGACTGTTGCTGCTGCAGCAGTTGTGAAGACTGCTGCTGTGGAGACCGCTGCTGCTGCTGCTGTGAAGACTGCTGGGATTGCTGCTGTTGTTGTGGTTGTTGCTGTGATTGTGACTGTTGCTGAGACTGTTGCTGTTGATAGTGCGGAGTAGCATAGGGAGAATGTTGGTGATGCGGTCGTAAGTCGTGATTGTGAGGTGGGTATGGCTGTTGATAAGAGTATGAAGGCGGAGGATAGTATGGAGGTTGTGGTTGTGGCTGCTGTGTCTGATGTCGTTGTTGATTCATGTTTATATGTTCCATAGTATTCTATATAATAGAGCAAAGTGTGTTGGTGATGACGTGTCTATGGTGATCGCGGAGTGTATGTATATTTTTGCGTGTGGTTTGTATGCTGGTGAGTTTTACCTTTTATAAAGTGTCAATCATCAATGTATATCCGCGATGCAAGCCCAATGGTTTAGTTAGTACTTTATACTTGAAGATGATGGTAAAGGAGGGGCGTGCGGGGCGTTTATATGTTTGAAAGGGGGGGAAAATAAGGGCGAGGTGCAATGGTCGTATTTATAGATAAATTTTTATGATGGTGTGTAAGCGACTTACATATGTATAGGCGGGACCCTGCTATTTATGGCTATCTGTGACCACATGACGTTGCATCAACCGGCAACCTGTTTTCTGTAATCGACCACTCCAATCAAAAGTTAGACGCTTCCGACTGAAGCCAAGTATGGCAGTCAGTCGTAACACAGTATATAATCTTATGATTTGCGTTTCTTATTACAACACACACATATTAATATATATAGACACATAGTGTATGTGGGGTCAATCAACAACAAGAATAGTAAATGCCATTTTTTGGTACCGACAGACCGACAGAATGTCGGCAACGTCATATTTAACAGGGCTATTGGTATGGTGTGGTGTGGTGTGGTGTGGTGTGGTGTGGTGTGTGGCTATATTGTAGCGTCCACGCTCTTTTGCTTTGCTTTGTCTGTATTATACATTTCCCCTGGACCGTCGTCGATGCGCTATTAAAATGGCTACTGACAATGATATTTAAACTGATATTTGTGTTACACGAATAATAAATGATGTAGAGAACGCAACAACAGATGAACGTATGCTATGGGTAGCAATAAGCATAATATGTGTTACATCATAAGTATCCTTTCCCTTTTATATTTCATATCTTGTATAGACAATATAAATAATATTGTATCTTTTATTGATCCATCATCTGTGCAACGTTGAATCTACCTTATTTTGCTGTTGTACTCCACAAAATCCTGTCTATCCTCCGGAGCAGACGTATTTGCTGCAACAGAATCAGGAAATGTGGCGAGGGTATGAATGAAAGATGGGAAACGATGAAAAGTGAGGAGGAGGAGGGAGGAGGAGATGGAGGAGATGGAGGAGAAGGAGAAGGAGGGGATGGAGGGGACGAAAAAAGGTTGGCTGATTACAAACACATTGTAACCGTACATATAAAAATAGCATTTGTAACAATAATAATGGGCGTAGCAGCTGTAGCAATAGCAATAGCAGTGATATAATGGTAGTGATAACAACAATACCTCGCATATCTCTTTCCATATAAATAAATACTAGACAACAGTTGTGATAATTGGCACTCTCTCTAAGCCAGAAAAAGTTTTTATGCGTTCAACAACAACGATAACGACGACAGTAGCTGCAAACACAGATAGCAATAGCTGTAGCAATAACTGTAGCAATAGCAGTAGCAATAACAGTAGCAATAACAGTAGCAATAGCTACAGCTACAGCTACAACACAGCTACAGCTACGGCTAAGAGCTACAACAACAGCTCCGACACACTCCGACACACACCATAACAGCGACAACAACAGTAACCCCACACAGCGTTTGACTATGAGTGGGTTTGAAGGATTCAGTTGCATGTGTCAACATGCTTTGAGCTGCGCAAGCGGTATTGTCTGATGTATATCGGTATAAAGGGTCTCCGAGTGTATTAGCATATAATATTATATCAATCATCTGTCTCCCTCTCCCCTTCCAATAGATAGATTAGTTGTGATACACCAATTATTTATTATTCTCACGTGATAAGGATTTCCTTCGTCTTTGGAAGAATCTAATTGAAGCTATTTCCCTAACATGGCAACTTAAGTGTAAATACACTTTACTTAATTAGGCACTGCATGAATAACACAAATACCTTAATATTTGACTATTGGATAACCCGTAAGGGAACACAACAAGAAAATACCCATCTATGGTCATTGAAAGGGCATTCTCATATATTTTAAGCAATACTATATCGAGTACATATACAGCTATCTTCGTATAACTATGCTATCCTACAAATGGAAACAAGAAGCAAGTTCCTTGTCTGCTATCTAGTCTCGTCTGCTGCCAATGTCCAACTATTATGGATGCCGACAAGATACGAGCATAAATCGCATTTAGATACATGTCTTATATGCCCGCATAGTATAAATAGCATACATAGCATACATAGCATATACAGCATATATTAATATACGCCCTGCGTGCATACTGATGATACATACTAATACCCTTAACACTAATGCTTATTTCCCTAATCATGGTACACATACCAAAATGTGTATGCATTCTGCCGAAAGCTGTGTGGCCATATTTCCAAAAAGGTTATTATTATCCGTATCTGATTATGACTAGGTGACACATCAAATATTGCAACTGCAAATGAATACGACATTCAAAACTTTTTTGGCTTGTAGTCGGAACTTGAACTCTTCCGGTTTTCACTGACATTGTCACTAAAAAAATTTTCTCTGGATAAACATTGCAACGCAACTACGCCCACCAAATTTTCAGGGGCTGATCCTTTTTTACACTATGAAATAGATAAATCGAATATTAATGTTAATATTACCAAGAACAATCGTACCACAACTTATCAGGATTTATACTTTTATCTTTTTCCCCCTTGTTTGAACCAATAAGAAAGTAAGGCTCCGTTGGTTTGAGTTGAAGTGGTAACAATGAAGGATAAAGTTTGGTGTATCCACTTTACTTATATACTGTGCGCATGTCGTAATAGAAATTAACCATTGATCGATCCTTCCCAGATAGTAATCTAACATCATATCGTACTTTTCGCTTCTTTGCATTGGTTTACTTTATTAAAGTTGTCAATTTGAGTTGTCTTTCAAATGATAATTCGAAAGCCCTTTTTTATTTTGGTATTACCGTATGCAGAAAACATCACCATGCATACATTTGTGACTATAAATCTGGTGTACTTATAATGACAATTAATATGTTGGATAAGAATAAATATAAATGTAGGCAACAATACAAATATGCACCGGTTTATGTGAAATATTACCCTACCGAGATATCTTACGTAAAGCACTTCTGTATTTACGATTCAACAGACAGTATCTCTTTACTTGAACTTTTATTGATCAATTATCTACTAGTTCATTATTTAGTAAACAAAAAAAAAAGGTTTATCCTAAACTGAAAGAGCACAAGTAAAGCGAAAAGACAATATTCTAATTCTGTCTTGTCAAATTAACCTCAGATATATCAATATTATAACTATGAAAATTCTTGATATTAATACAAAATTCGACGTGCATACAGTGTATCTACGAGTATATCTGTTACCACTACTTAATAAATACGTATGTTAAGGAATGTGTCATGTGTCTTAGCATAGCATTTAAGTATTATTATTTATCAGGCTAATTCAATGTAAGTTCTCGTTGCATTATTTCCTTAATTATACTAATTTTTTTTACGCCCCTTCCATTCTCTGCAAATACTTTCTCATTGTTTTGACCCATTAAGTCATACAATACAGTATGTATTAATGGATAATTTCTAATTGACAAATAAGATCTAAATCTGGCACTTATCTTGTTAACCTTAACTGATAGTTAGTAACTATGTATGTCGTAAATTTTTTTATTCTTATATGCACAATTTTTGCAAATTTTCTAGACGCTGTTATTACTATACTCAAATTAACGTTTATATACATTTAGGTTGCTATTTTGTGGATTTATTAAACTCTGTTTATGTTACGATTATTTAGAAAAACTGTGTTTGCTAAAACACTCCTTAGATGTAAAGATTTAAGTATTCCCATTTTCTATAGTTTGTTGCATCAGTTTTTGAGAAAAATACTATCACTTTTTTTTATGCTTTTGATTACTGTTATCATTGCCATTAATGGCAAAGTTTTAGGAAAAATAGGATACAAATGTATTCTTCTAATTACTAACTACGCAAGACAGATTTAACTAGAATGTCAAATAAACCAGTTTTTTTCTCGATTTAGCACATTCTTACATTAATATGCTTGGTTTTACAATTGTCTTGGTCGAAAATTTTTTTCTTATGATATAATCATAATTTAGTAGAAATATTAATGTAATAGCATAGAGAAACAAATATTTTTACAGCTAGAGTGGATATAAATGGAGACATTGAAGGGACCACAACTCCAATTTCTTTTGTACGTAATGCTCTGGTACTGGAAGAGAAATATTGGCTCCTTTAAATTACTGACTAGGTAGCACTATATATAGAGAGAAAGCAAAATTAAGAACAAAATTAAGAGCCATTCTAGTTGATGTTCTACGTGACTTTCTAATTAAAAATCTGGACTATCTTTGTTACTGTTGCGCCAACTGATACGGAGCGCGATTAGTTAGCTGACTTTGAGGTTTAGATCTATACTCAGCCATAACTTAAAAAGCTTTTTCTTGATAGTTGTTGCCTGTTATTAGAGCACGCCTATTAACGATAATCCTCAATCGGCCCTAAACTCTTATCTTTCTATTAAAGAAGGGATTGATGCCGCATGACAATCTGTTCGTGTCTTTCGACTTCTATTGCATCGTAACAGTTAGACAAGTCATTGTAAATAGCAGCAAAGGAATCATCAATTCTTAGCAACTATGTCTTGCTGTTTTTTCCTATCTAACCGATAGGTTAATTAATATGATAGATTAAACAAAACCGGATTAAAATGAAAATTTCTCTACAGGGTGGTATCAAAAGTATTGCACGGTCGAAATTTAACTGATTCAATAAAATTATTAATATGAAACCCGTGTGATTCTTATACCATATTTGCCTATATATTACTTAAATGGATTGTTGTTTATTGTTTTGATTTAATCTTTTACGGATCGTAAAAACGCGATTTAAAATTTTCTATCATTTTCAATTTTTCGCGCAATGGGTCTTGGTAAAGAATTAACTTTTGCACAAAAGGAAAGCATTATTGCAGCCAAAAAATTAGGCCACAATAATACAGAAATTGCAAAAGTTGTAGGATGTCATCGAACGACAATTACAAGATATCTTGCAGCTTACGAATCAGGAGAACCTTCCAAGAAACGATCAGGTCGACCATGCTTGATCGACAGTCAAAAAAGGCAAAGACTGAAGGCTATGGTTCTCAAAAACAAGGAAACAAGGCGAAAAAATCTAGCAGAAATTGCTAATATACATTCTGCAAAAAAAAATCTGTATTGACAATTCGTCGAGCACTTCAGAAAGAAAATTTACGTTCTTGTATTCCTCGGAAAAAACCTTTAATTTCAGCAATCAACAAATCCAAACGACTTGCTTGGGCAATAGAAGGAAGACACTGGACTTTAGAAGATTGGAAAAAGTCTGATGAGTTTACGTTTTCACAGTTTCAAAAATCTGGTTGGGGAAGAGTGTGGAGAAAGCCAGAAGAGGAATTTCATGAAGATTGCATTGCATCAACGGTAAAACATTCTCCGCAAAGGATGTTTTGGGCGTGTTTTTCCTTTTTAAAATTAGGACTCCACTTAAAGGTTCATTAACTGGAAACGTATGCAAAGAGATACTTTCCACTTATGCAGTTCCCACACTCAAAGCATTTTTCAGGAAGAAAATGCACCAGTTCACACATCGAAGATTGCACGAGAGTTTCTTCATTCTCAAAATATAGAATGGCCCGATCTCAACCCAATTGAGAACTTGTGGGCTGCCAAGTGTTGGTGAACTCGAAAAGGTAGTGAAAGATATTTAGGAAGCGATCCCGAAAAAAGTATATCGTGACTTGGTGCGATCAATGCCAAATAGAATTCAGGCTCTAATGGAGGACATACAAAATACTAAAGTACTAATTCCGAGTATTAACTGTTGTCTTAATAAAAATTTTTTTGTTACTAAAATAAAAGCGTGCAATACTTTTGATACCCCCCTGTACGTACGTAACAATAAGAAGAGCATTGGAGCGTTGGAACGTATTGAGAATGAGAAATATTCTACTCTTATTATAGTAAAATTGCTGCTACACTTTTTAATACTGTCTACTATCTAAATTAATATTGAATACGTTATCATATTTCTGATATACGAGTAAACCATTCTTGTGCCTGCTTGGCATGTTTGTGTATTCTCTACAGTTATGTACTTAGTATTTTGAAAGTCTATGTATTTACCGCATCGATCACCTGATTACCTGATGTTGCAGTATTTATCCCTGGTCATCACGTTATACATTCTATGTCTTTAGTATTAGCATTAAGGAATTAACAACACGATAAAACCCCCCAATTGGTCTTAAATATAATAGTTTTCGTATCTTATAATATAATAATAATACTAATATTCTTCTGTTTCCTCTAACATTGACATAGCATTGACATAGTTGTCCAATAGTATTAACTAAACATATATTATGTATTAACAACTGTGGTGCTGCATCTGCTAGATAAAGTGATGAGTGAGCAAATTAATCACAAGAATCAAAATGTGTTTGTTGGGAAATTAAAATGTCTAAATGGTAGGCTTTTGAACAAAGCATTAAAGTGACTTGTGACAATATTACTGTAATGTGGAGGGCATAACAAAAATAATGCTATTTTTTCGAAATTCTCTCTTTGCTATTTTTGATAACAAGCTTATAACGACATCTCGTTGAGCCCGCGAAATTTATTATAACAATATTTAGGATAATACTCCACTCCTCCATCATAAATCACCCTATTTTTGGGGGGGTATCCGTTTACCCTTCACAATAATCCCATAAATTTAAGTCAGGACTGTCAGATGTATTCGGTTTTAGAATTAGCAAGGCGATTTGTTATTGCATGTGTCTTGCCGAAACTTCCACTTACCCGCCCCAACCCTTTGATCAAATAAATGTTGCTGAAGAATTTTACACATCCTTAACTTTTCAAAAGCAAAATAAATTGGCGACATATACAATTTCCGGGGTTTGTTTGACACACTGCATTCAGCATAACATTTTTGTCATCATAAGCAAGCAGGAGAAATTAAGTTTCAATACTTTCTTCTTTGTTTGCCAGTTCTGGTAGTATGGTATATGTTGAGAACTGCACTATAATAAGCTGAAATGAATTACTCTTCGTACATAAAGTTCTGATGTTAAAACCCCCTCCCATTATATGAACAAAGGCGAGCGTTGTTGGGTTCAGGAAAAAGCAACTTATTAATAATAAATTATCGAAAAAGCCAATCCGCAAGGAAAATTTGGGTGAGAATAAAAAACGCTCAGAACCACAACAAGAAATAACTCCTCGTCTGTGTAAGAGAGCTTTAGGAAGTACTGGCTGCAGGGGGAAAAGCTTACGAGTCAATTAGTTCCTCTTCATAATCAAGAGTAAAACTAAAAATTCAGTAACAAAAAGACGCAAATTTAATAACACCGGAGCACCAGAATTAGAACAAAAACCAATAAGAGAGTAGACTTACTCGATCCAACTAGATTAGCATAGTGTAAGGAGAAAGCAAAATATAACTTGGGGGAAATCCATCCTAAAGTGCGTATGATATCAGATGTCCGCGCTTGGTCTAGTCTTGTCTCAAATAGCGAACACTAACAGTATTTCCCCCGAAATCTTTCCGTGCATCAATCTCTTATGTATAATCCATATCAGTCGCTTCAATAGATATTATTATTATCAACTTTGAGAGAGTTTATTTACCCAATTTATTGTCTGGTAATGAGAAATGCCACTCGTAGTTTCTCTATCTGCAACATCTATAAACTCTCAAAACCACGAAAAACATCTTCAATAAAGAAACCCCTAAATCTACCTTCCTGTGATCTTAATACCACAAAACATCTCACTCAATCCGAGAATAACATTCCTCAAACACTCTCTTCTCAATGACGCTCCTCATTCAAGAACGAATATAATACAAAGGGTTTTTTTCTTTTGTGAGAAGCATCAACAAGATTATAATGATCAAAATAAATGTATAAAATTTGTTATAAGTGAAGAGAATTTGTTATTTGTTTAAAGTAAAAGAACAACAATATGTAAAAACAAAAAAAAAAGTACACAGAAGAAAAGGTAAATAAAAAAGATGAATAGTTGTGATGAATGAGTATTTATTTGTGATTAAGGCAGAGCCGATGAAGCGGATAGAAAGCGTCGTAGACATGGGATGGTGATAATTTAGAAAGCTGTGGCGAGTTGGAAGGAAGATGTCGTCGCTGTAAAAGAAATAATTGAACGTGAGCGAGTGAAACATAGGGGGAAAAGCGTCCATTTTCCAATAGTAACAGTAAATTACATACCAATATCCCTGTATTCAGAAGTAACTATACCAGCTGGGAATGCCAATAGGGTATTGTTCTCGTTTCCATCTAATTTTTTTTTTTTTTTAAAAAAAACCATTATGTTAGTCGTTGCCAATTACCGTCTGCCTTGTATCATTAATCTCACTATTGATAACAAAACCAATAATTGATATCTTACATTGATCTCGTGTTGTTTCGTAGTCAGGATTGCATCTCCAGTCGTTGTCGATTACAAACTTGAAAGTATGCTCCTTGTTGCGGTCGATGGGTATTGTCGCAACGAAATCACCGTTTGGAAGTTTTGTCATTTCGTTATTTGCTAAAAATTAATAACAATATGTAGTGTATGGTTATTAAATAGCATTGGAATATTAAGAATAATTATCGAATAGCATAAAAGATCGTGTCTATATATCCAAAGCTAACTCACCTTGCCAGTTATCGAAATCGCCAGTAACGACAACTCTGTTGCCGCCGTGTTTCCAGTGGAAATCAACCGATACTATGGGATTGTTATCGAATTGTGCAGATGAAGTTTTCATTTCTGATGGAGCGTTGCTTGTGTTCTCTTCGGTGATCTGAGCAGGCTCATTTTCTTCGGGATATGATTTAGGCTCATGTTCTTCGTGCTCTGCATCGCTAACAACTGTACTTTCGCCATCGGACAATTCGTTAAGGGCGGTCTCTGGTTGCGGAAGGGTCTCAACTTCATTGTCGACATGTACTTGTTCATCGAGATTCTCTTCAATGTTTGTTTCTTCGATTTCCACTTTGTCGACTTCGACTTCACTGATACTAGTCTCTACAGTTTCTGTTATTACAATCTCTTCCGTTTCGGCGACTTCTTTTTCTGTGAACTCGGCAGTCTCCTCGATTTCCGTCTCTATAACTTCAGTTTCTACAGCTTTCACTTCGTCGACATGGACTTCATCGACATGGACTTCATCAACTTCCTTATCGACTTCGACCTCAGCAACATGGACTTCATCGATTTGGACTTCCTCGGTTTCGACTTCCTCGGTTTCGACCTCAGAGGCATGGACTTCATCGATTTGGACTTCCTCGATTTCGACCTCAGAGGCATGGACTTCATCGATTTGGACTTCCTCGGTTTCGACTTCCTCGGTTTCGACCTCAGAGACATGGACTTCATCGATTTGGACTTCCTCGGTTTCGACTTCCTCGGTTTCGACCTCAGAGACATGGACTTCCTCGGTTTCGACTTCCTCGGTTTCGATTTCCTCGGTTTGGACTTCCTCGGTTTGGACTTCCTCGGTTTCGATTTCCTCGGTTTCGATTTCCTCGGTTTCGACTTCCTCGGTTTCGACTTCCTCGGTTTCGACTTCCTCGGTTTGGACTTCCTCAGTTTCGACCTCAGCGACATGGACTTCATCGACATGGACCTCATCGACTTCAACCTTATTGACTTCGACTTCGACATGGACTTCATTAGACTCGACTTCGACCTCAGCGACTTCGACATTATCGATTTCAACCTCAGCGACATGGACTTCATTAACCTCAACTTCATCAACTTCGACATTATCGATTTCGACCTCAGCGACATGGACTTCATTAACCTCATCGACTTCGATCTCGGCGACAGGGGCTTCATTAACCTCAACTTCAACTTCAACTTCTTCAACTTCAACTTCTTCATCAGCTTTAACTTCTTCATCAACTTCAACTTCATCGTCAAACCCATCGAAGACATCATCGACTTGGACTTCCGTCTCTTCAACTTTCTCGTCGACCTGTTCAGTGATTTTAATCTCGTCGACTATAGGTGGTGTAGTAATCTCTCTATTGACGTTGATTTCATAGATTTCCTCATTGAATTTAATTCCTTCGAATCTTGATTTGTTGAATTCCACCTCTCTGACTTTCACATCTTCGACCTCTCTTCCTCTGATTTTTTCGACTTCGATAAGGCCAGCCGTAAAATCGCCATTTGATGGGGGGATTACATGTAAAGTGCCCCTTTGATTTTTGATAGCATTCACACTCACAGTTATGACAGCAGTATCTTCGCCTTTGATGATACTGAGAGTTTTTAAGAGTATGGCGAGAACAAGGTTTAGAAAGATAGTGAGGGCGCGGTCCAACCAGTAGCCGGGAGAGAGAGCACGTGGGATGGCCATTTAGATATTAGTGGGAGATGATAATTGACAGTAAGGTGTGAGAAGTCAAGAGGTGGATACAAAAATTTTTAATAGAGAAGATGAGAAAGAGAGAGGGAAGGAGAAGGGAGGGATTGGTTGAGGAGGTCGAGTTGATGGGTATTCTAACGTTTGAATGGATGACAAACAGCCTTGAATTTTCGTTATAATTAACCAATGAATTCCCTACAGTCCTCAAAGTTGAAAATACGGTATGAAAAATCTTTCTCAATTGCGACAGAGTGTCATCAAAGAGAGAATGGGAGTGGGGGGAAAGGGGGGGGCCAAGACGAACAAGGCTATTTGTACTTTTCGATAACCTGTTTCATGATTGATATCGGCGATATGGGATGGTTGCCACCAACAACAGATGAAAAGTCCGCAAATGGTTGTAATTTTCTGGGGAGGTCGTGTATTGGCTTATCATAGCTAATGCTGTTGTCGCCCAAGTGCAGTTGGTGCGGGGTGAGGGAAGTGGGGGGGGACGAGGGGTCGTAGGGGTGTGGGTGTGTGAGTATGGTGTGGGTGTGTGTATGTGTTGGATGTATTGGTGTGATGTGGGTGTGATGTGGGTGTGAATGGGAGTAATAAGGGGTATTGAGCGGATGTATATTGTATTCAGTATAAAATGATGTTTTTCATATAATGCCATTGTAATCTTAAATGTAAAAAGGGCAAACAGTAACATACAATCGAACAATCAAACAGTTCATTGAAGACAATAGAATATGCTTCATATAGTACAGCGTATACTCTTTTCTCTTTTTCCTACATAAAAACTTATTTTAATTTTAACGTTTGTGTTTTTATAAGCCACACAGTATGCAGGATTTTATTTGTAAAAAAAAAAAAAAAAACTTGCTGTAAATCGAATAAAGCAGGCTGGTAGATCATGACAGTGCATGTTTCATATGCTTCGGGTAATGGCTGGAGAGATAGATGGGCTAGATAGCGAAAAGTAGTAAATCTGGAGCACAACGGATTCGCTGATAGCAGAAAATGTGACGGTCATAATGATATGATTACAAATCTTGTGATTATCGTCGCGTGTTGTGGGCTACTTTACCTCTACTCGGTTAGCAATTTACTATCATTAGCCGTCCGACAATGCTTATCAACTATGACGTAACAAGCTGCATACCGAAACACGTTATCAACAGCATCAATGCTTATCGATTGCCATTCTTTGTTCTTCCGGCATACAAGCCTTCATTACCAACAGAGTGCATACATGCACACATACCATCTCATTAGCCGCATCTAGTCGATCTCTTATCTACGTGCTCGCCTGTTTCCTGTCTACTAAAACGTTTGCGCGCTTATGCTGCTGCCGACAAACATGGTCTTGTATGAAATAGGTAAATAATTTGGGTATGCAGTCCTTTCTTGATCGGCTGTGGTCTGATCCAAAATAGACATGAAGAATGGAAGGTATTGTGGAAGAAGCAAAATGATTGACAATGCTATGCTATATATAATCCCACTAATACTTTATCATGTGAAAATAAAAGCAATTTGGCATGGCGTATAGAGTGTGTGAGATCAACGAATAGAGGCGGTAATTTATAACGATTGCACCATTGCAGCACAACTTTTAACAATAACACGCACAAAAAAATACAGGAATTCAATTTGTTACCATTATTATCGATGCTTAAACAACTTGGTACCGTCAGAACGAATACCCAATAAAAATTCATTGATATCACGTTGACTCGGCATTTTACAGAATTGGTGCACTACAACGAAAAAAAAAAAAAAAGAAAAAAAAAAAAAAAAAAGCTGCGACGAATTAATTGATTATCATATTCAATGCTGGCTTAAACAACTATTTCCATCCGGGACGGTACTGTCCCGATTTTTCCCACTATTTCCGCTTTTCGGCATTCACAACTTTTGGGTTTATATTAAACCCTCGCAGCGTTGGTGTGTCGCATTATAAAGTTTGACGGAATTAACTGATGGGAACCTATTAATGCATGCCATGCATCTAGTAATATCTCGCTAACAGCGCAAACAGTTCCAACGTGTCTTGATTCACTGAATGTCGACTGTATAGTGGTAGTGATGAAAATGCACCGAGTATGCTAAATGGAATGATTTCGGCATCATTATTATTTAACCGGATCGGGTGTCTATCATGAAGCCATATCTCATATTGAGATACAAAGATACTGATTTACTAATTGTCTCGCTTTTAGCAGATTGTTATAGTTAGGAGAATCATGATAAGTAAGTTCATGTGATCATATCATCAATAGGAATGTCGCGACCATTACCATCGTTACTTAAGTTATATTGATGTGCTTCCGATAATTTATTTAAACCCATCAAGCTACGTCAAAAACTGATCTGCTCTGCATCATCATGCATTATAAGAATTCTCCAAATGATGGGGTTGTCATAATATTCAACTTTTCACGATTGGCTAATATACGACGTCTTTGTCAGTTTATTGATGTCTAATCTAAACCTAATTATGGACTAAGATTCAAATCAAATACATACTCTGGAAAATAATTGGTAATAATTAATTAGCAACAATAAATTATCTATTTTATCTGGTAAATCTATTAGACGATGTAACATTGCAATCGTTAACTGATTATGGTATTCAGTTTTACACGGATTAGAGTATATTCACTTGGATAATTTTGTATAAAGTGTAGAATATTAATATGGTAAAAGCGTATCTTTGACCATGGTGCATGGTGTGTATGTGAGAGTACAGTCCGCCAAATAGCAAACACTTGAAAATATATCGTTGGCGTAAATGCCAATTACACCAATAACGTGGGGACAGTCGGTTAAATACAGTCAGTATATACTGCATAATGTATAAAGTATTATGTGTAACTTTATGTCGTTATTTTAATATCTGCCAATGTTTCATATCTACAGCATGCCATGCATGTAAGAAATAGGTCGAGAAAACAATCAACTGACCCATCTCCACGTGACTAGTTTGTTCAAAATTTTTCCCGTGAATTCGAAACAAACGCGTCGCACGTTTCGTTTGGATACGGGAGAATTACTTCATTTGTTAATCAAGCAGTAGAAAAAGAGTTAAAGCAATTGAAAAAGCGCTTAATTGCTGCTCACCAAAGAATGGCCAAAAATCAAAAATCAAAGCAAGAGCTAGCCATCAGGCATGACTATGATAAAGGGAAAAGAGCGCGCCATATCAAGCAAGCGTTACAGCACTCGAAGCAAAAACCAACAAGCAACATTCGTCAATCCAAGCTGTCACCTGAGTCGATGATCCAGAAGCATTTCAAAGGATGGAAGACTTCTTTGGAATCCCCAATTCTTGATATATTAAAGTTCCGTCGAGGAAGAGACGACTTCACGTTTGACAAATCCACAGAACCTTTTTGTTTAAATTGCTTCTCTTTTTGGCTTTTTTATTCAAAACACCATTTCATCTATCAAGGGCAGAGTAGCAGTTTAACTATAAAGGTTTATGCTTACTAAATGTCATATCGAATCGGATATCAATTTTGTCTCCGTATTTCCTTTGCAACAGATTCCGAGTGCTTTTGTGTGTCCAAGAATTATGTTTGAATTTGATCTGTTGTAACTGTGGTAAATTGGCCTCGAAAATGGAACGTAATCCTCTTTCCGTTGATATGCGACAGAAATGCACACAAATACTTGTTAATCGATGAAACACCATTGGTTCGTTATCTAAATCATCTGAACAGAATTCAACTTTTTTCACGTCAATTGATTCCAGAGAATCTGACTGTGACTCCAATAATTTAAACAGTGATCTCATACTGGTCCTTAGATTCCGTAATTGAATGCTCTTTAATTGATGCTGAGACTGTACCAATGTTCGCAAATCGTGACGCGACATTTTGTCAAAGTCGTAGTCTTCTTTATCATGAAAATCGATGTGAATGGATTCCAGATTGCGTGCAACCCTAGAAAGTTTGGCGAATATACCAACACAGATCCTTAAATTCCAATTCAGTGTTCTCAACTGTGGGAGATTTTCTACAGAACGTAGAAATTGACCCTCACAAGTGCAACTGTCGATAGAGTTGCGTCCCGATAATACGAAAGAGAGAGTTTTAAGATTGTGGCAATATTTAACTGCCAAACGAACGATTTGCATCAATTTACGATAACCATCAACTTCCACGACTCTACGCCAATATTTAATCAAAAGCTCGAGTTCTCTTAAATCGATCTCCTTCAAGTAACGACTGTAATCAAGCAGAGGCGTTTTAATATATTTCCTGCGCAGTCGTTTTGCTTTCATGAGAACTTCGACATCAGTAAAACACTCGACAAATGTGGTCATAAGATTGTCTACTGCATGTTTGCTTTGACTCCAATCTCCAGACAACCATTTTTTGAAGCAGAATAAGCCGAAAGGGTTGGCCCATAGGTATTGCATAGCGACCGTACACCAACTTTTGTTAACTAATACGCAAGAATGAAGCGTATGAGAATTGTCTGCGTGCTCATCCAAAATCATGAAAAGAAGTTCGCTAGGCAAAGTAGAAGCCATGTTTTTAGAAGCCGTGTTTTTACAAGCCATCAAGTGTGGAATTTGCGTTTGATACATCCGCAGTAAAAATCACATTCCCATCTTGGAAATTGATCTGCCTATATTCTTGCTGGCATCGCTTTCGCAAACTTGGTTGTTAGATAACCAATTGATTACATTAAACGTAACCGTTTTCAGCGATAAGGTCTGAGCAATATGCGAGATATGTATACTTTGAATCATTGCAGATACCAGTTCACATAGAATAGTCTATCATTACCAGAATAAGGGCGCGTTTATTTGAAATACCATGTATGATATATTCGGTCAAATAAACTCGGATGATACAATATAATATACGATAATTCTCATTTTCAGTGTAAGACGTATTGTATTGCATGTGGACGGCAATGATAAACTGTTGGAGAGGGACTATCGAACCGTGCGTTTATAACTGGTCGATCTAACGCGTTCTAGCTTGGCACATATGTACAATAAACGCATTTTATTTCGCGTTTTTGATTGTCTGGATGACATTGAAACACTTGTTGATATTAAGATATTAAGAAGAGCATTTTGTCAACAGCGTGCTCGGATATTCGTTAATAGCCTCATAACAGATTGTGTTGACGACACGAGCTAAATGCCAGGAACCATAGAATCAGCTGTAGCACAACGCAAAAGCCTTGTTATTGGTCAAGAAGCGAAAACAGTCTTTGTGCGATACCTTTGATCTTGTCATATACCATAGCGAGATGCGACACAAGTTTTATTACAACGCAATATTGTACAAATTTAGTGTTATTCCCAATTAAGAAGAACGGAACTAATTAGCGTTGGCAAAAATTGCTTAGATTATTGAATGTAACTTACTTTTATCCAACAATCTCAAAATGTATGGGATTTGCTCATTGATAATTCGTGTCTCTGATGGTCAGAGTCTAGAGAGACCTTAATATAGAAGACTGTCATGACTACACGACGATATGATTGTCTTTATCAGGCACGCTTATAATATTTGGCGTGAGTATTTTTGTCAATATATGTCCCTACATATCATTGGCTCCTCCCTTTATTTTCCGCGAATAGCAATGGAGCCACCTAAGTTAAACTCCGGGGTTAGCTTAAAGGACAAAAGACAATGCATTAATTACTTTACAATGGCAATAACGCTATTGCTGTTGTTTCTTGGTCTGGCTATAGTAATATTAATAGGATGACTATATCTTACAAATTCCCTTTTTGCGGAATCCGAAAAGAAGCTAATAATGGCGACTAGCTAATTTTCATTGTGCGAGTGCTAGATATGGGAAACCACAGTCACAAAGACACGTGCCACACGAAGTCAATAAGAAGCCACAGAACCATAATCGACGTTCCCTCGCTTTTACTGCGCTATGGAAATGTCGGACTTAACTGAGTGCATACGTGACAAGCTAAACCGTGAGCTATTACTCACTTCGTGCTGCTTTCTATGCAAAATTCGTTCTTCCCATTGCCCCCTTCATTTCAGGTTTCCCTTTGAATTACCAACCTCTCCATATTCCCTATTTCTCTCCACATAATTAGAACTCCGTCGAGAGAAGCAAAAACGTTACGAGCAAATATGCCAACAGCTAGACCAGGAAATTCACCAAAAAACTGCTCATTCTCGTGAATTGTTTCTCAAATTCGAACAGGCAGTTTCCCACTATCAAAAAGAGTCTGAAGCACCATTTGATTTTGATTATGATGATTCGCAAAAAGATGACGTGAGCGAGGAGGAGGAGGAGGAAGTAGAAACCGACGATGAGAATCATGGAAGAAATGGTTATGGGGAAGGAGGAGCATATAGGAGGAGAAGGGATGAAGGAGGGGATGAAAGCGGAGGACTAGAGAGCATAGTTAGTATTGGAAATCTAGTTAATAGGGAAACTCCTATGGCGATGGAAGCTGAGGAGGATATGGATGGAGGAAAGAGATGCGAAAGGACCGGAGAGAGAATGGCTGACCGAATGAACGATAGGATGAACGATCGTATGAGACATAACGATCGCATGGCTGAAAGAGCGAATGAAAGATCAAGGGCAAGCGATAGACTGGCCGGACAACAAATCCCCTCCTTGGCCGACAGAACTACCGATAGATTGGGCAATAACAACAGGAAACCCGAAGCAAAGTCTTCTCGAGAGAGTAGAATCCGTACCGCACATGATAAATGTATGGAATTGAAGAGTCAGAGCGAACTTGTAGAAGAGTCTTTGCGTAAAGGGAGGGCTAGGCTACTGTTTGCACGTGAAGGTAAACCGTATGATGACCGGCATTGTGTGGATTGCTCACTTGTCCTTTAAAAATTGCGACATTTTTAACTCCCCGATTTTTTCCTTCCCGATTTTTCCTTATATTTGAATTGATTCATATAGACTATCAACGCTCGCTCCATGCCTTTGACGATTTGGAAAACGAATTGACTTCAATCTCTCAAACGTTTGAAGAGACGCAAAAGCGTGCATTGGAACAGTTCTTTGCTGGTCTCCATGACAAGGATGTAGATGTTTATGAAATGCATCGCAAATTCCAAGAATCGGCTACCCAGGAAGCTTTGGAAAGGCGAGGAAGGAAAAGAAAAGAAATAGAAGAGTTGCAGGCGCAAGTGAGAGGGCAAAAGAGGATCAAGAATGCGGCGTTGCTAACGACTGTGGTTGCTTTGGCTCCGTGGGTTGGTGCAGTGGCTTTAGGATTATGGGAGAAGTTTTTGATATTGCAAGGACAGTTGGGCGAGTGAGAGAGAGAGAGAGGGAGAAAAGGTAAAAGGAATCAATGATGGATGAAATTTATTTCTTTGCTTGTAGATGCTATTCGAGTTGCTTGTGAGTTTGTGCAAATCTGTTGATTAGTCATATTTTATTGTTCAATGGTTGATATGTGAATGAGAATTTGCAGATGATTGTAACACTGCAATTCGGCTGTACATAAGGTCAAATTTATTTCATAGTTATCAGGCAGTTAATATACGAATAATAAAGGTAATGAACAACATGGACAATAATAAATGATTAATCACAGATTATTTATTAACAAGAACGACATTTTCTAATGCTAAATATCAGGAACATTATCTGGTAGATAGTAGCATGTCGACGGTGGTGTGCTTGAGAATAACATGTTGCATGTTAGGGTTCGTGTTGGTACTACTGAAACGACTTGCGTCTGTTTGTGACAGGCAGTTCCGGGTCACTAAGACTTGATTTCTACTAATGTGTCAGAGCTGTGAGGTTCCAAACGCTCACGCGATAGAGAGCCCGACGTATACATCATGCCAGCGTTAAAAAAAAGCCAAATGTTATTCTCTTGACAGCTGCACCACTGGAGGAGTATTTAGGCTATTTCTATCTGGGACGTTTTGCTGTAAACTAACTATACAACAAGCTGATGTGAGTTAGAGCTAAATTATTTTTAAAAAAAGCTTATTAATAAAATGTGTTGAACAAATGAGAAAATTCTTCTATTAACCATTACATATCACAACGATTTTAACATCTCCGGAAGTCGCTATCTTGGGCGATTGACACACAAATTAAGGGATGTTCACAACATCGCATAGTGACAGAAAGTGTTCATAGAAGAGACAACAAATAACCTATGATTCAAGCTTGGTTCACACAAATAGAACTGCAATGGATACGTACAGTAATTACCAAGTTAGTACAATGCCTTTGAAACATCGACGTAAATAACGGTCAACACATCATCACGGTTCACAACGATTGAGCCTGGCCTGGCTTGAAATGCAATATATCTGCACTGTCTTTCTTCTTTATTATCAAATTGATATCAATATGCGAACTTTGAAAAATTAGCAATTAAACGTGTGGAGCAGACATTGCGTATACCTTTAATCATATTTTTCGTCCCATATTAGTCAGTGCGCGGAGCCTATATAAGTTATGGGACACGTTGTGAAGGTAGGAACTTTATTCATAACTGTTACTTTTGTTATTCGGAATTATCCTTGTTCACCAGTTGGCCATTAAAAAGCCGGCTGATGCTCATTCTCACTCGAGTCACCAACGCGTAAGAGATTATACTGCGCTAATTACTTTATTTCGTGTATCTGTGCAGTCAGGGTTTTAACAGCAGTACATTATATTAGCAATGTTAAATGTGAATATTGGATAACATGAATGACAACGTCAATAGGCGTTAGTAATTTGTAATTCAAATAAAATACTAATAGTAAGACTTAATCTCTCATCTAAAAGCGGCCTCATTTATTAGGAACGATTATTCGCCCAGTCCTTTTTTACTATACTCTTCGATTAAGAATTAATATTACACAGTGAAATTCACTTTAACGAAGACATTCGTTCCACGATTTTTTGCTTCGTTAACCTGAAAGTTCGCTTAAGTGAACTGTCTTTTTATATGAAATATATGAATCTATTCTGGAAAGAACTTCGTTATAAAGCGATCTTCTTAAAGTGAGACTTAATTAAAGTGAATTTCACTGTGTAGTTGTCGCTTTAATATATAAGGGCGATACGACTATTACATGGTTGCCCCTTTGCCGTTGTTATTCTCTAGGTCGAGTTAAAATCGTGCACGTTTGTTATTAGCTGTCTTTGCGGGGTAAATCATTTGAATATGTAAGAAATACAGAATACATATTTATTAAAGAGTAAATATTGAGAACCAGTTATCTAACTTTATGAAATTAGTAATGAGTTTTGGTGCTAATCGTTCTTGAATAAAATGTGTCAATTTCAGCACCCTGATATTGTTTTCATACCCAAACTATACAGTTGGCAAGACCTTCGTGCTCCAAAATTTCAACGATATAGCGTGTTAATATAATAATAATAATAATAATAACTTAATCGAATTATAAAAAGTCTTAAAATTAAGCACACTCTCCGTGCCCACATGTCCGCTAGCCGCGAAAAATCGACAAGTAAAAAGCTACGGCACCTGGTATTCCCACGTTGTCCCCAACCGTAGTACTGACCAGGCCACCAGTGGCTTAACTGCGGAGATCGGACGGGTTCCGGTGCTTTTCACTGTGTATGGCCGTAGCTGATTTACATTGTAAAACCGAATCTTTTATGCTTGACATAACGGTCATCGAGCGTCAGATAACGATATCATTATTGCACGCACTTCCCCCAACAATAGAAAAACCCGATGTAGGAATCATTACATCATGTGATAGCTGATTTGAAAAGTATAAACTATGAATTCATGTCTCGAATGTTACATATATCGGGTATATAACAATAACGTCAAAGCTCGTGTTATCCGTAGTGTTTGAGATTTGTCCATTCATTCCTGACAAATAGTTATAAAAACCTGTTCTCCAAGGAAATGTACCCAACTTACAAGCGTGATATTTTCATTCGCAATAAAGCTTTCTGGGCCAGGACAGTTGAAACGAGTTTTGTGTTTTATGCCGAACTCGGCCCAACTTTCTAATAATACTCTGACATATTAGAGAGGATATATTTTAACGGATAGCGACTCCGCCAATGGAGAATTCATGTGCATGAAAAGATAATAGAATTGGTGTTAATTTTGTCTCGTAATTGAACCATTACATCGCAATGGAAGCAATGGAAGCATTATATCGCAATGGGGACATTATACACCTATCGGCAGTAGAAACGCTGGCTGTGCAATGGCAAATGGCAATTCAGTCGTCGATCTCAACCCAACAAACTATTTTCTATTGTGAATGACACTCGAGCGTTTACAATGGCATCGGCAAGCAACCAATCATATTAGCTAATTATCCGACAAACAATACTCAGTTGCTGCGGTCATATTGCTCTTAACATACTTATGCGATAACGGCACCCGATGTTGCATAAATTACCAAAATAGGTTAGTAATATATCAATGGTCTTTAATGATTATATAAAGCGTATGATGAAAGTCAACGTCGATTAAAAAACCCGTATTATTAAGCGAACTCTGTAAACAACAAACATCATTAACATTAACATTAACATTAACATACAACAACATGTACAAAACATTTTCCGCTGATTTGGAAAGGAAGTTCGACGAGGCCTACCGCAAGGCCAATCTCGCTTGCAGCAAGGCCGAGCTGCTTGCACGTAACAACAGACCGAACAAGCATGGTTCTCTGAGGAGGCCCAAGAATGCGTTTTTTATCTATGCCAAAGAGTATAGAAAACGCATCGAGGTTGGGTTATACAACTCAACCACGACTCAGTCGCGAGAAATTGTCCGAAATGCTGGGCAGGCCTGGAGAAGATTGAGCGAAGATGAAAAGCTCGTCTACCGTCTGGCGGCTAACGTGGTGGAAAAGAAATTTTACGAGGACAATCCGGGCTATGTTTATAGGCCAAAAAAGAGCGATCAGTCGCTCAAAATAATAGCCTACCAACCCACCACGGAGGCGGATGTGCCTCAAGACCAAGGGGAGTTTGCCGAGGTCTTTGAAAGTCTTTTGGATCTAGACATTAGAAACATTAGCGACCCGGCAGACGCGATATATTCCATGACCGTTTGGAATGGTTTTTCGTGGAATGGGCCATAAATTATTGTGTAGAATTTGCTTGTATCATCTAATGCTAATAAAATCAACTGCAATTTGGTGATTTGTCGTTGCTGAAAATGTTACTGTCCACTTACAAAAAACTGTTCCATTTTTGTTGTATGCTCTTTGAACTCTCAGACCGCTCATACTGCTTAATATACTTGAAAATGTTTGGTTTTGATTATGGTAAATTTGCAGCATGCTGATATTCGGTAAAATATAGCTGCGATATCTTTCAACAATAGTCGAGCACGAAGAGAAACTCTTTAACCCATCACCATGTTACAATACAACTATCTTTACGGTAGAATACAGTTATATAAGCAATGCAGTTCAAAGAGGTTTTACGCATTTCCTTGAAATCAAACGACAAATACTACGTTATGGATAATCAAATTATTAGTAATGCAACGATATATTTGCGAGGCAATCATTCGCCGACAATCATTTCACCGACAAATATTTACCAACATTATTTCGAATTTATCCTTTTTAGTAGTTAATTGTCGGTGAAATGTATGATTGTCGGCGAAATAATACGGACCCATTTGCAATGTTTGAAAACATGCAAACTTGCTCTCGACTTTTGGATGTGCAAATAATAACAGTTGTCGCTGTTCTGAAACCAAAACCTTGCAGTAATAAGGTTTTACAGCGTGGGTGTATGAATCTTTTTTATTAGCAACTACATATAATTTTATGGTCATTCATCGAACGGTTTGTGGTTAACAATAATTAAATCAATCCTTTGTTCAGACAAATATTCTCCTTCAGAAAGTGAGTAGTATTCATACTTCGTATGCAAGTCATATTATACTCGCTTGCTCTGTCCTATATTGTCTAACCATTGGCTCTTCGTATGGCAGCTTAGTTTAGTATTACAGTAACGTGCAAAAGTATCCTACCGGTTGTATCATCTAAACGTACATAATAATAACTCCTTAAATTTTCCA